AAAGACTGTCCCTGGCGGTTGGATATGGTGCCACAGCGGGATCAGGCTGTCTCGGCGTTTAGATATAGGATTTTTGATTTTGTTGTTTTATTTGGTGTTTTAATTGTTTTGGTTTCGTTTGGTAGTCTCCCTATTAGTCATCGGGGCGGTCTGTGCGTTCTCGAAGATTTTCGCATTTCGAACACGTCGCAAGAATACCGACAATACCCCCTCTAGCACCTCAACGAGAGGGCTGCACACATTAGAGGTGGCGTAAATCGGTTTCTCGCGACGTGTTACCCCTATATCTGATAGAAAATTGACGAGTTTTGATGAAAGATTTCTGCTTAAAAGTTGGTGTGTGTGTGTGTCGTTCGCGTAGTAGTTTCTCTGCTATATCTGCTACTTTATATAGATAGGGGGCAAATCCTTACAAGTCTAGGTTAAGAATATATTGTACAATAGTTTGCTCTTTAGACTTAGTTAGCTTCTAGCAATTTAGCTGTGTTATAGGTTAAAAGGTAATTCTTTAAAGCTATTATGATATCTGCTAATAATAGACGTTATAGGCTGCTATAGCGCGTTAAATGCTCTTAAACTAGCCTATACAATAGGCCTAAATAGCTAGAAAAAGCCTACCTTCTTACTAAGTTAATATCGCGTTCTATTGTTAGGGCATTATCTTTCGTACGTGAAGTTTGTGATGCTAAGAAAAAGTGGCACACTTGGTGATGTGGCCTGCTTGGTGATGGAATACGTTACTTTCTAAATTTTAGTTTTAGGCTAAATAAGGACGCTTAAGTAGTAAGATAAATAATTATTATAGTACTATATGAAAAAAACTCATAAAAATGAACTAAGAAATGAATAATTAATGTTAGTGACTCAGCCCTGTGCTGCTAGGCCACAACAGCCAAAAAGGTACGAGTAATTAGCGTTCTGCTGATTCTCTGCACAGGATAGTATATATATTGTTAGCCGCACCTAACAATGAAGTATATGCTATAACGTAAAACCTAGTATTAATCTATATAAGGGATAAACGATTTTAAGTGAGCTTTAATAAAATTAATAGTTAATGTATATATACATCTATCCTTATGCTTAAAGTTTGATTTTCTTATAATTTGTGTATTGAATCAAACTTTCTATAAAAAAGTATAAAAGAAGATAATATTTAATATTTTAATGGTATTTTATTTCTTGTCAAAGGCTACTATTAAGTAAGAGGCTAAAATACGTAATTAGCGCCTTATAGTCATTATTACCCTCTAACGTAGTTGCTAGTTAGCCTTTAACCTTAAGTTCTGCGTTAAGGAGAGAATCCTTCTTGCTAATCCTATCACTTTATTTACGTTTGATTACTGTTATTTTCTATTTACAAAATATCAAGATACCCTCCATCTAAATAGTATAAAAGATTTATCTACGCCTACCTTACCTATAAGCGGCATTAGATACACTCTGCCTCTTTACATCTCTGCTTACAGCTGTTGTTGGCCCCCAAAATATCAATCTCAACATCGCCTTGGCCTACCAATTACTAGCATTGCTTCTAGCCCCCAATCACTAAGAGATCGTAAATCGCACTCGAGTCCTTCGCTGTTACCAATCATATAAGACTCCCATGCAGCTTACTTTCATTATGCTATATTTCCTCAATCTGTGACGTTTTAGTACGCCCCTCGATGTCCGTCAAATTATATATATTCCGCTATTGCACGGACAAAGATATATCTTCGGCGATAGCTTTTTTGTATCATATCATCCGTGTATCTACACCGTAATTCCTAGTCGCGATTCTCTTCTATATTTTTGTTACCCTGCTGGATTCTTCCCTATGAGCATTCAATGGCTACAATGACCGGACCGAAAAGCACGTCGACAGACCTTGGTAGGCTTTGGACTCAGGCTATCAATGACTACAATGCAAGAACAGATGAGGATCTCTCGTCTATGGGCGCACTAGACTTGGCTGGTGCGATGAAAATCCTTGACGTCAGCATGGAGAAATTCAAAGGCTTTAGGAATGACGGCAGCAAAATGGCGAAGTTTCGATCTGCTATGGGAGACTCTTTGGGCGATATGCAGAAATGCATTGACGGCGTTGCGATTGTCGGTTCCGCTGCTGGCGCATTTCCACCAGCAATGCCGGTGGGGCTCGTTTTTACAGCTGCAAGCCGCTTGATATCAGTGTGTATAAATCAACCTTTCAAAGGTCAAATACTTATTTTTACTAGGCTTTCGCTGGGTTGAAAGCACATTATGACCGTGTCGAGTCATTCTTTGCATTTTCATCTCGATTTTTCCAGCGGCTGTCTCTTCTCGAACAGCGAGCAGACTCCGGTCCGCTTGCAATCGCTATTGTTCGAGTTTTCTCCATGCAATTGTCGGTATGCGCCAGAGTAAGATATATAATCAAGAAGAAGCGTTTTTGTAAGCATCATCCTGTTTAGCGGCAGGACATACTAATCACTCCTAGCACAATTCCTAAATGCACTTTGGAACATGGAGGACCAGGAGCTATTGGCTGCGTATGCAGCCATGCAAGTCTCGATAGAGGAGCTCAATGAATCTGTAGGATTTGAGAGCTACAGCTCGATCAGGTCTCTTCAGGAGGATGTGCGCGCAGGAAACGACAATTTGAGATCTATGCGAGAAGAGTCATCCGCTAACACTGCAAAACTCGACGAATTAGATCATAAGCTGCAATCATTTCGCGCCAACTTGGGGCAAGATGTGCAGCAGCTCTACCTGAGCAGTTTGAAGCTTGACGTTGTAGTTACCGAAGGATTCGTTGCAGTGCAGAACAGGCAGAATGAGAGCCACGCTCTACTTCTGCAGCTGCAAAAGTCGGTAGACAAATTGGGCAAATCATCAGAACACGAAGACAAGAAAAAGCAGGCTACAAAGTCGAAGGGCGATGGGGGCGACCGGAAGTTTCAAGCTTTGCGAGAGATTAAGAAGTTCTTGACGGAAAACAACATGGATTTTCCATCTTGGGCAGACGCTCATCGCGAGAACTCAGTGCAAGAAGAAGATATGCGTGGATCACAGGTCCAACAAACAGCTAGATGGCTTTGTGAACACCCAAACTTCAGGTCCTGGTCAGAGGGAGCATGTCAGCTATTGTGGCTACCAGGAGCTGAGGGCATTGGAAAATCCTTCCTGGCCTTCTCAGCCGTTCAGGAGCTGCGAGCACGTCAGAGCGATCAAAGCTACTTGGCCTATTTCTTCTTCAAGGAGGAGCACCCGTACCTGCAGTCAATGCAAAATGCCTTCGCGTCGGCCGCGTTACAGATTGCCGAATCAAATAACAAATACGCTGAACAGGTAGCTGCTCAGATCAGAGAGGATTCTGGGAAAAGGACCTCCATTTCTACCTGGGATCGGTTCTTTCTTTCCATGTTTCCACGTAACAACGAGCCAACGAGTCGTTTGTTTCTTATCCTGGACGGCCTAGACGAGGCTCACATTCAGCAGGGGGGGCTTCTCACTCAATTTTTATCAGACTTGACAACTGAGAATGCTAGAGTGTCAGTTCTGGCAACTGGCAGACCAGAAGAGAAGATCATCCTGCAACTTTATAAACCTTTGGTGATTGAAGTTACAAAGCATGAGATGAAATCTGATATGAAGACGCTTGTAAAGAGCCGCCTGCTGTCGCTACCACGTTTGTGCAAGTTCAGTCAAACTGTCAAGAGAGCCATCACACGCAAAGTATTGAAGCACGCAGACAGCATGCTCTACGTTGAGCATGTGCTTCGAAGGTTCTCCTACATAGGCCGAGAACGAGCTGTGCTGGAAGAATTGGAGAGATTACCCGCTACTCTGCATGATCTTTATAGGCTTCTTCTGGAGGAATGTCGCCATAATCGTTCCGAGACGCAATATCAAGCGATGAAGAAGATGTTTGCATGGCTAGCGTTTCCAAAGCGATCACTTAGTCTGGCCGAAGCCTCGCATTTGGTTCAGTTGACACTCTTGGACGACACCTTCGACATTGAGGAAGAGATTATCGGCCGCTCGTCCCGTATTCTTGAGCTCACCCAGGCTCGACAGGCGGACGATGACACGAAAGATGATGACAAGGACGACGACGAAAATGAAGATTTCAAAGATGATGGCGACCCTGAGCTTGCCTATCGGGACTTGCCTTTGACATTCCAGGATCGATCATTGCGGCAGTATTTCCAAAGCATTAGTATAGAAGCAGACGGCGCTACAGAGTTCAGGACGCCTGCTTCTGCTGCACAACTTACGATCCTTCAAATGTGTGCAAACATCATGATCCAGGCAGCTAAAGACCCCGAAGACCAGCCAAGCATTGCGCTTGCACGGTACGCTATTCAATATTGGTACGAGCATCTCGAGGAGTTGGACGTGGAGAATTCGACAGACGAGGTCATCCGGCAGGTCGCAACGTTGTTGTATACCATAACTCAGAATACCAACAACATTGCGAAATTATTTGAGCAGCGGGCAAGACATACAGATATGTATCCTGAACGGCTGGACGACTCGCCTGCTGCGTGATTCGACACACTTCTTGTGTGGGCAGCTAAGGCATCATCTCTTACGGACGGACAAATTGATAGCCAGGTCAAGGAATGGGCAAACACTGTCAATAAAGATAATGTTCTGCTTTTATTGACACATGGTCATGTACAAAATTGGCTAAATGCCATAGATCAGACTTGGATCCCTGAAACCTTCGAATTTGTCAAAGCAACTCTGTTTCTGGTATGTTGTGTTTTGCTCCATTGGCCAACTACTAATATAAGACAGGCAAATCGCTTGGAAAAGAACGAAGAAGAGCCACTGAGGATGATAGACGCTGTCATAGCCCAGTACAAAATTCCAGGCGAAGACTTCAGGACATTGAGGGCGACTGGAGCGACATTGTGTGGATATGGATATGAATCTCGGGATCTGAATCGCCAGCAGGCAATGCTCACCGAAGGCGTGTCATACTTGAAGCAGTCTGTGGAGTGCATGGAAGGCGACGCTTTGGAAAGGATTGCAACACTTCGCCTCTTAGCACCCAAGTACACATGGATCGACCAACAGCCCGAGGCAATCGTTTATTATGATCAAGCATACGACATGTTGTCAAACTTGGAATCAGAGGATCTGACAGAAGCGAAATCGAAAGAGTTGAACGACATCAGGCTGGACATACTGACAGCCAAGGCGACAGCATTTACTGAGTTGAACCAGCCTGAGGATGCTCTACAGATATACAACAAAGCTAGAGAGCTTTCGGGTGCACATCCTCTGCCCGGATGGACTTTAGATGAGATTACTCTCTTGTTCAAAGAGGAGTATGACACCGACGGGACTAAGCTCATGGAAGCCCTCCACACGTGGACCGTAAAAGAACGCAATAGCTGGTTCGCATATTGCTTCAACGGCTTCGTGGATGCAAATGCTGTCACTCGCATGCAGAGGGCGGCCAAAATGGCAAAGAAGACCGATTTACTACTTGAGTGGCTGAACGGCTTGGCCAAAACTCTTCCCAAGGAGAGTTACTACCTGTTCAACCTTCGTGGTGCAATTGCACGCTTATACTATCCAGTCATGGGTTGTGTTGAAAAAGGCAAAGCCATGCGTCAGGAAATATTGGCCATGAATCCGAAGCCGGAGTCTTGGTACGAAGAGACGATGAATGAGACAAGGACGCAGCATCATATGCAGCTAGCGGAAATCCTCTTTCATGAGTTCCAGACGTGTGCAGATCCAGCAAAAAAGGAAACACTTCTCGAGTCGTTGACGCTCCTGCCGAGTGCCCACGTGCATGATGACGAACTCCACAATCCTATGTGGCTATGCTGCGCGCGAACATGCTTCGCATAATGGGGCCTGCAAAGGAATATCAGAGATATATGAACGAGCTGTTTGCAGCTTGCATCAATGGACTGGAGGATAGCGTCTCTTGGAATGACTCATCGAGCTTGCGTCTACTATCCAAAGTTCTGGCTTCGTTGGATGGTCTTGAACATGATGCGCGAATCGCATGCTCTGCACAATTTTCCATCTTGGATCGCGCTATCCATTACCAAAGTAGCGATATTGGAGATTCGGAGACCGTCTCTAACGAAGGGAGTGCTGAAGCAGACGCCACCAACCCTACCACGACAACTGGTGAAACAAAAAAGGAATCTCTGGCAGATAGCGTTATGGATATCGCAGGAGAAGGTTCCGCTCATGGCACAGCGGGCGAGAAGCTGCTGGAGCAAGAACTGGATGATACTGCGACCGAGTCAGCTCAGCTAGAAGAAGACATTACTGAAGCTGGAATCTACTGTGATGGAGGTTGCGGAACGGAAATCAACACCTGGACGAAGCCGATGTACTACTGCTTGGTCTGTGTCAACTGCGACCTTTGCGAAGTATGCTACGCAAAACGTCTGGCTCAAACGCGCGGCGAGATTGAAGAACCCTGGCACAGTTTCTGTGGCAGAGATCATTACTATATCAAGGCCCCCCTGAAAGGCTGGAAGGGCATCAGGAACGGTGTCATTCGCATCAACGATGAAGAGTTTACAGTAAAACATTGGCTCAAGGGTTTGAAGGAAGAGCGATGGCAGAATGCCTGGGCAACCTTCTGGACCAGACAGGGTGGTTTGAAGGATATTGGTGACGAAGCCTAGGAGGTGGTGTTGGCTGGGCGCTGGCTTGGCTATGTCAAGGCACCCGAAGCGATATTGACTTTAGTTCGACGCAACACGCAAGACGGCTATTGCTCCCCACTACCGATCTTTTTCCACGCCTTCTTTTCTATACTTTTCATTCGAAAGTTCGGGATTTCCCATCGTTGATTAGATGTGCCAGGTTGTGTTCAAGATTTACTGTTGAAACCATTGCGATCATACTGCTGGAGGGTGGGAATTTCTTCTATTTGACAACCACTACATCATCGCTTAGATTATATCCACATCTCCAACGGGCACTACAACTCTATCTACAGCATTTCACTATATGTATATATTGGACTGATAAAGTAGCTCAGATGAATCTTGTTTAGGACATGAGACACATGATCGAGAAAGATAGCATTTGAGTGGTGCGGAAGAGAAGCAACAGAGGGCATTTACGTCTAGGTCGCAGAGAATGGTTGTTTTAATCGTGTTACTATCTCTTGGAAGTGACTTACTCTTTTGATTGCTGATTCCAGCCCAACCCAGCTAGGTCCTGACCTTCTAATTCTTGGTGCGAGTTCAGGCCCCAAGCATCGGCACTATCGTCCTTGACAGTCGTTCGACGCATATCGCGGAAGTACTTGCCTTCAAAAATGCCTCCGGTTGCGCGGTGTAGTGTTGAAACGTTATCCCACGCAATCAAGTCGCCATTATTGTGCCAGTCGACCGACAGCACATTCTCTGGCCGTGTTACATGCTCAATCAATTTCTTCATAAGTATCCTGTTCTCTTCTTCTGGTAGTGGCTTGCCATCGCGAGTCTCAAGGTGATGAAGGTAGTTGCCCACATAAAGAGTGTTGCGTCCAGACGGTTCGTGGGTCGAAACGAGTCTGAAACGCGTGAAGGGCGTGCTCCAAGGGTCAAGATCCTTGAAGTATTCTGGGGCTCCAAGCTTCCGAAGATGCAAGAACGAATGGCAGCTAACAAGATCCCTTTTGAGCAATTTATTTTTCAAATCTTCGTCTAGATCGTCCTATGCGGTCAGACTATCTGCATACTCAGTCTCTCCCCTAGTGCCTAGAGGAGGTAGCTGAACGGACCGTAGAATTGACCAGCTCGCGCGTTGCCAATTGAAAGCACCATTATTATAGAATACGTTGTTTCCTTTAGAGAATTTCGCACGCGATGATTCAGGCTCAATCAGTTGTCCCTCCCCACTAATGTTGCTAACGTTAGCTATTTTAGAGTATTTTAAGCGTGGGTTTTTGCTATGCTAACTATAATCCTCTAGTTTTCCAATCCCGCGAGAAAATGCAATATGCTCTTCGTTAGTGAAGTTAGCTTTGCGAAAGATAAGCACAATATACTACTATAGATTAGCAGCTGGCAGATGAGATAGCAATTCAAGCATACTTTAGCTATTGCACCTTTGGATTCCTGGAACTGTTTCTCCGACATATTGTTGAAATCCGCACCAAGCACCTCGGCGCTAAGACTAGGGTGCAGTGGTTTGCAAGTTGTCGTAGAGAAGGGGGCATCGCTGATAAGAGTACCCGGCATTGTGGCGAAGTCAAGTGTGTAGTCGAACAAATGGTAATTTGTTCTGAAGAAGAAGTGATTGTGTACTGGGACGCAACATATCATTGACTAGGGCAATTTATATGTTCACTGTCAGGGGAGAACCCATGGCATTTGGCCGAGAATGGTCAGCTCGTTGCCTGCTTTCAAACCAGTCAAGTACTAGTATGTCTGAGGAGGATCTTATGGAATTCACGAAAAGCACAAGGGTATGCTGCATATTCGGAAGCTCAACTATGCTCCTTTTGGTGGTATCGGCATCAGCGGACAACTGACCGCCAGACATCCTCCAGAGCACATGCGAAGGAATTACATTTTGTTGAGAAGCATCCTGGCCTGTGCTTCATTAATTCGCTCTCGCACAACTGTTGCTAACAGCAGACTGTGACATGAGCAAAGTGTGGTACTTTCAGCAGATATCTTGATCGTATAGCCTATTGCTCTATTGTTTCGTGATGTGATAGTGTTTCGCAGTTCTGTGCAGGCGTATAGTTCGCAGAAGTTACAATGTTACCCGCAACATCAATACGGACTCGTGTGTACAAAACGGAGAGACGGAGGATCGGAGAATCGGAGGTCGTCGTCAACATCTGTAGCCAAAACACTCTTTTTGCATGAGTGTGAGTGCTCATGATCCATCACTCCAAACGTAACATGGAAGGATCCCCTCTCTGAGCTCCCCTTTATGAGTCCATGAAACCAGCAATTCAGTTGCATTGGCCATCAATCTTTCCAATGATATCTTCCATGCTATATATATGCCCGTGTTGAACGACAACTTGTTTTTGCCAGCGCTCACGCCTTTTACCACCCTCATGTCTATGTTAAGTGGCTAATACCACACTAGATGACTAGCTACGTGAAAACTTACAGAATTCGTCATCAGTGCGATACTTGGCTGTTGATTTCTGTCTTGATTGACAATATCTCTCAGCATATCAGCGTACTAAAATGGTTGATAAAATCTGGAATCGGATGAGATAATGTCATATGTTAGTGTATTGTGTTCAGATGATTCTTTGTCATTCTCACAAATAAAGTAACATTGTCGCGAATAGATGGTGTTTACACTGATACATGAGTGAAGCGTATCCGTACCGATTTCATACCACCAGGGATTGGTGTCAATATGTGGAGTACGAAGAGGAAACATATTAAGATCAATAAAGTTATACCCTAGCATTCGGACCATTAGCCAGCCGAGAAGTCGAGATCAGAAGATGAGGGTACCTGTCTGTCCAGATTGTGGGATAAGCTCCTTGGTGGTGTCCTGTTACTCCTACACCATGGGAGCATACATATTTCTGCTGATGACAAGGGCTGTGGCCTAGGCGCAGAAATGCCATTGGCCTATGGGAAAGTGGGGGAAATGTTACGTCACGTGCTCGCAAGCAAGGGACTATGTGGCTGTCCAAGCTTCAGTACATAACCGAGAAAGAAGAGATGCTGATATTGAATTTGCTGACTTTTCGAAGCGATTGATAAGACAGGGGCCTGGGCCAGACGTAAGGCACGGAAGGCAAAACTGGTGCTTGGGTCAGATAGATATGAATACGATATCTGAGTTCGTGCATAGCCACCACCAAGCCCATTTACATTCCCTTGTGCTAAGCCCCTCACTCTCATACTATGCCTGTAAGAAAAATATATATATCCATTTTCGCTTGTGGTGCCACTGCTAGCCCTATCTGGCCACACTGCACGTGTGCGTACGCCCTAGCCTATGTGCCTGTATACCATTTAACCGGGACCAGTCCAATCACCAGCCGAGCCAGCACAAAAGAAGAAAGTAAATTAAAATCACACGGTTTTGATTGAATAACCAGACGGCCGGAATGTACAAGCGAGGTTGGGTAAAGCGTGGTAAATGGGTTGGAGAGGCTGAATCAGACAGAGACCAAGCCGTGCGCGTGGCAAAATGGACGCTGGAGTCTCTAGAAGATAAGGCAAATTGATTGCATGTACGTAAGAGGGTCGAAATAGGAGAATGGGTCAGGGGTTCAGGAGATCTGGATCTCGGGTGCCCCAGAAATCACCAAGCTGAAACGCCCTTCTTGAACAGTGACGGGTGTTGCTGTGACCTCAGTGGCTAAGCTCCTCTGCTTTTGAGCGCGCGCTGCCCATTGTGGAACTCAGCTGGCCATCTGCCGTGTGTTGGTGGATCCTCGAGCGATATATGTACCCGTCTCCACCTCTGTGCATGGACACATCGTTGCTTCACAGTATAAAATCTTCAGCCACTGCGGTATATGACCAACCACACATAGCACAACCTACTCCGCGCTACCTTTGTTTCCAACTCGACTTCTCAGTGTTCCGGCCACGCCCACAACGAGCCACCATGAAGATCACCGCCATCATCACAGCGGCACTGACTGCATCTCTTACGCTCGCATCCCCAGCTGCTGTACGCATCCTGGAACTATCCAGCCATTTCCTAACACCCCCTTACTCTCCATCAAGTAGACATGGCTGACACAACATCCCAATGGCATAGGTCAGTCTGGCACGTTCTGTCAAGGAGATTAGGAATGACGATGGCACAGTGACAGCACTGTCGTGTATCGAGTGTCCCTGTGATGGCTTCGTCGGCACATGCAAATGTGTAAGTGTACCCATCCAGCATTGCATGAGACGCGAGAAGAGAGGACTAATGCCTTGATAGATTCCAAATGGTTGCTGCTGCAAGCGCCGGTCCAACTGAGTATACGCGTATTCAATCCACTGCAATGAATGTATCAGACTTTGCGTTGGACAAGCTGTCAATGGAAAAGCCAGCCTCACGAATTGCATCTTGATATGAAACCATCATAAAATACCGCAACTCAGTGGTTGCATAGAACAAAGTTGATTTCGCGAGTAAATGGAACCGTAGGCCAGCGCTAGACAGTGTGTGCTATGCAAATCAACACCAACAAATAAGTCACGTGTTATCAGCTTCCACTTGCTTCTCCGCCTCTTCTCTCTCCTCTTCTCGCACCCACTTGCGAAACCCGATCGTCATGATGCCGCCAATTGCAACCTGAAATGCCTGGAAGATGATTGCTGGGATCTGCATCTTTGACTGGTCGACAGGATCGATGTTAATGTACATGACTGATGTAAGCGGTACCACCATGGCGAGTGCCTTGGCTGGACAACAGTAGCAACACGCAATGACGTCTTTTTTCGGCAACCACAGCGTTGCGGCCGTGAAGCAGATTGCGAGCCAAATGAGATAGAGAGCGATGGTGATGAAGATGATGAAGATGATGTTGGAAGGCTTCACAGTCTTGAAAGCGCCCGAGGAAAAGGCCTGGTCAAACGTTTGCCACACCATTGTGAGCAGGGCAATGGACGAGAGCTTGAGCAGCTTCCAGTCGAAGAAGATTTTTTTCGTCATCTTGGGAAACAGACGCTGGACCAACTGGCCAGCCACCATGGGCAGAAAGAGCGATAAGCCAAGCTGCATGAAGACACGCTGGTAGATGTCTGCATAGCCCGAGCCCCGCTGGAGGACCTTGCTGTACCACGAGCCGGTAGAAAGGTACATCTCAATGATAATCGGAGTGAGGAATGGACACAGAAACTGGCCAATGACGGATTGCACGACAGTCAGCGCAGCGTTTCCATGCGCCTGCCTTGTCATGACGACGTTGCTAGACATGGTTGTGGGAGCACTGCCCACAAAGAGAAATCCTATCAGGAGCCATGGGTCCATGAAGCGTGGGTTCGTGGCGCACAGACTGACTATGGCAAAAGTAGCGGCCGAGCATACGAGGTAGCATTGCAGCTGCACGAAAAGGTGGAGTTTCCAGCGCATGTAGTTTGCGAGCATCAGGCGCGTGTCTAGCGTGCAGCCGTTGACAAAGAAGATGACGGATACGGCGAGGTAGGTAATGACGGTTCGCTTTGTCCGCTGCTGGGATGCTGGCACCTGGACTTGCGAGGACAAGAGGACCACGCTGGCCATGGCGAGGAGGAACCACTGGTCTTTGACGAACCATTTCAGCATTGTCGAGATTCTCTTGCGCTTGGCCGTCTTTGGCCTGGGCGCCTCCAGCCCACGCTCCGTCTTGTGCGGGATGCGTGGCGCAGCTTCAATTGGCCCATCAGGCGTACAATGGTCGAGTGTGCGAGAGACGGCGTGGATGGAGTCGGCGTTCACCGCCTCTCCGACTGGCGCATCTGATGCTGCCACGCTTGCCTCGTCGTGCTTGCTGCCGATCATTTCGAGGCGGAGAAGAAGAAGAAAAGAGCAGGTTCTTTGCAGGCTGGCTGAGTGTAGTGGGTGCCCATGGTGTGTCTGCAGCCAGGCTTCTTGGCTTCAAGATATGCCCATTGCCGGCATTACGCCCTTATGCAGCCATGTAGCCGACGTAGCGTCCCTCTATCCCGCTAACGACTTATGGCGGGGTAAATTGCTCCGAGGCGCATTGACAGCGAGCGTCGTGCTGGCTGAGGATTCTGACGGCGGGGACATGGATACAGAGCGATGGCGGAGGTGGATGTGCGAGGCTGGAGGCTGCGGGCTGCGGGCTGCGGGCAGGAGAGAGGAGAGCGGAAAGCGGAGAGAGAAAGAGAAAGGCGAGAGTTGACTAGCAAACGTCACGGTTGGCTTATGTAATCAGTAGCTGCTTACTAAGCACAACCATGCTTTCCTTCCCCTCCCTCACGTACGTCAGCATGCCAACTGTCTTCGCTCTCTGCTCCCAACAAGCCGCACTCACCCGCCACCCAACCCCAGTCGTATATATCAAATACATGATACACAACACCCAAGGCCGCTGGTCGTTGCGTCCCACAAGAAATCCATGCAGCCATGGCAACAACGGCCCGCCCCTCGGCCGCCGAGGGCATTAATAGCACCCGCATCTGGGCGCACGTCCACAGCCAGCTGATGCAGCACGCTGTGCCCGACGCGCGCTTCCACTACGACTTTGCATGCTTTGCGCCTGATTTCCGGAATTCTGCAGCCGCCATGGAGCGGGTGGTGGCGCTGCCATGCTACCAGGCGGCGCGCACCATTCTTGCGACTCCGGATAACAGCCTGGAGCCGTTGCGCGCGAGGGCGCTCCGCGACGGCAAGCAGCTGCTGGTCGCGACGTACAAGTTGCGCCGGGGATTTGTGCTGCTGCACCCAGGCCGCATCAGCGAAGCCAGATACGACGTGGCTGCGTGTTTGGATGGCATGGAGAAAGCCGGCACAGGGCGCGCCGTGACGCTGGCGCAGATGCGCGACCAAGGGCTGCAAATCGACCTGTGTGTGACGGGAGGCCTGGTCTTCACCAGTGCAGGCGTCGTGGTGCGCGAGGCCCCCAGTCTCTTTGAAATGCAGTGGGCGCTGCTGCACGACGTGGGTGCATTGCGTGCAGAGACACGTGTGGTCGCCGTTGCACATGGGTGCCAGGTAGTCGATGAAGCGCATCTTAGCATAGAGCCCACGATGCCACGCAGGCCGGCAGAGGTTCAGTGCGATTATCTCGTCACTCCAGAGGCGACGCTCCAAGTAACGGGCGCAACAAGGCCCACGGGCGGCATTGACTTTGACACTGTAGATCCTCATGGCCTGCAGGACATACCGACATTGCAAGAACTCCGCGGTATCCGCATCATGGAGAAGATTATGCAGAGAGAAGGTTTCTTATCTGGACACGAGGCCAAATCACCGCCGCCGCCGCCATCACAAGACGAGCAGCGAGGCATTGACATTGTCAACAGGCTAATGCAAAGTTTTAAAAGTTGAACCAACAAGTTGGTTGGGCCCGCTTTCCAAGCGATCCACTACTTTTATCTATATTCTATCTATCCTATGTCTATCTCATATCTATTCATGTCTTTTTTTTATCTATCCCGTATAGAGCACCAAGTAAACGCCGTTTGTAATACAGGAAAGGAAAAACACCAACAACCTGTCATCATCGTCGTCTTCGTCTTCGTCATCATCGTCCTATTAAATTGACAGCCTCTTGTAACAGTAGAGACTTGTGACCTGTGCATACTCGAGGTTCGTCACCCTCGTCCGTCCGGAGCCCATCTTGACAAGGATGTCATTCGCCGCAGCCACGCCGACATCGCACACAACAGCCGGGTCGTCTGCCATGACTTCAAAGCCGTGAGACTCGATGCCTGCAGTAATGTGCTGAACGTCGATTTCGACAATCTGCTGGGGCTTCTTGCTAAAGTCTTGCATGACGTCCAAAGGGATTTCCATCATCCAAGGGCCAATGGGGTTGTTGGTCGATGTTCCTGGCGGTTGTGTAAAGTTTGCATTGAGGGCTTTGCATGTTGGTTCGTCGATCAAGGCAATCGTCACAATTGGAGGATTGTTGATGGCCAGTGGCGCTGCAGCAGCAAGAGTGGACATGACGCTCAAGACTATCGAGTACTTCATGCTGGCGGCTTGCTGATCAAGGTTGTTGATCAAGTCTGGTGTTGGGGGTTTTCGTTGAAGTGTGGAAGAGAGGTATAGATGGTTGGTGTCTGTCGCCTTGCCCACCACAACCATCTTTCTTATATGCCATTCTGCGTGATAAAAATACCTCTTCTTCGACGCAGATGCGTCGACTGCATATTCGCGCGGCGGTACTTGTGGCCGAGAAGTGGTGCTGTGACGATGTGTGGCGTCGTGAGCGCGGTGGGCTTCACGATGACTTAGCCGCCAAGCCACAAGATAACCTGATGCCTTGGCAGGTACTTAGTGACTTACCCTTCAACAAGTGGCCCGTGCGCGCTATTCCCACCACCAATTCATCCCGAGCGGCCGAATAGGAAAGCAGAAACACGCTTCCACGGACCATCAGATTTGCCCGCGTTTCGGCCCGTATCAATGGGGTGCCGTGTCTTCTAGAAGGCGGCCGTCGGTGCTGCTCCCAAGACATCGTTTGAAAAAAAAACTCTGAAGGGCCCATGGGCACGGATCGCTATCGTGAGGCTTGCGCCATTTTCCCATGCAAATGCACATGCTTCCGAGAGCAACGACATGGAAAAGACGCTGCTTGCAACAGTTCGTATCTATACAAGGCTCATTCAAAACATGCCTGCATCCACGGCCATGTCGGCCAGCATCTCCTACACCCGTTGGTCAGCTTACGTTCGCAAATCATCATCGCGTAGTTCACAGGGAACGAGGCACACGCGAACACTATCCATGCCATCGATCTCTGATGAGTGATAAAAGCCGTAGTGGGCGAAATGGCCGGCTATCACGTCAAAGAGGGCGGGCTGCGGGCTGCCAGACCGTTTTGCAGAACATGCTGGTCTTGGTGGGTGGCCTCCTACCTCTGCATCATCTCTGTTGACCACTTCATCTTCATCGCGACGTCGCATAAAGCAACCATGGCCGTCTTAAAGCTCCCGGTGTATTATGCATTGGCTGCATCATGGTAAAGTGCTCATCGAGGCCCGATTTCGTATAACCCCTCTCAACAAATGCCTATCAGTCACCCTATTTCATACAAATCACGTGTACGTCGAAATCGCATCGTGCCCATGTCTGCGTGTGGATGATGCCTGTGTCTCCAGACCCGACAAATGCTAGACACAGGGTAGTCGCAACGTCTCGTCGACTTGTTCCCGGACCCGTAATATGGCAACGTCTTTCGGTGGAACCCGGCACAGAAATCTGCATATCATGTCGTCACCAGAGACCTCCACGGAGACGGCCCAAGCAGTCTGGCAAATGTGCTCCGGGGGTCGCCTGGAAGTGGGAAATTCCGAAACAGCCAGTCGCACAGATTCAGCACACATGCATGTTCGCCATATCAAGTGGGTAGACCGGCTTAACGACTTGCTCTAGGCAATCGTCGACCATGCTCGCCCACTGGTGCAACATTGGAATGGAACGTGACGAATTTTGAGTAGATAGGACGAGGCCTGGGACAGTCGAGCATCAAGTCAGGAGAAGAAGTATCCGCGGAGCTCGATCAGCAGCGCAGTCTAGCGCCTCCAGATCCCTGTAGGCATGTATTGGTAGCCCTGCGTCGCTTGGAACTTGATTCGTTGCGCATGGTGCAGGGGAGATACACAGACTCGGGTCCTCGTGAGTCGAATGACTTTGGTCGTGATAGCGCCATAGCTGTGTGGCTTGGTGCGTCAAAATGCGAAAGGCGCTCCGAGGCCAATAGTAGGCCATCGGACAATTGACTGCGGACGGGCCTTGGTCCACGGCGCTGAGGCGCGGTTTCATACGGGAACTATGGACAGTTCGTGCGACGGTGCCTGCATTCGGTAGAGTAAGGCACTCCAAGTGCCGGTGGCCGCGGCAGCGAGTCCACTAGTGCAGTGTGCAATGGTCGCGAGATCCTGCTGGCGGCCTTGTACTCGCAATCTGCAGGCGCACGTGTGGACGCTAGAGCTCGCCATCAGCAGGGTGGCAGCCTGTCTTGCCGTTGCTTTTCAGCGCCACCCAGTCGCCCTATCGACTCGACTCGTCCTTGGCCCAGCCATGGAGGATCACTCGGCACTCATGCGCATGCTCAGCAACGTGTGAGCGTGGGCCCGTAAGAGGTCCACTGAACTGCGCGGACCAGGTACCTAGATAGATGCCACATACGTATATGGACACGTCTTTTCCGCCATTGGCTGTGTGCAGGCAGAGCACTGCCGCATCGAGAGGGCCGGCAGCGGGCAGTCGAGGAAGGTGAAACGTGCGGGTAAAGGACAGACTGGACAGCTATGCAGCGAGAGGCAGCATTGGCCTGTGTCTCCGGGGCATGCTGCGGGTTAAGGGAGGTCAGAGATGGAGGCTAAGAGACGGCACATGCGGAGCGATGCAGGAGAGGTTGGGATTTTCGGACGCTAGGCCCAAGGCGGCTAGGCAGTCACGTGGCGCGCCACCACCACCACCACCACCCTCACCACGTCCCGCCCGTGTGTGTACGAGCCGCTTGCGTCCAGACACTCACACCCACATCCACACCCACACCCACACCCATACTGGCAACCAAACCTCCGCCCAGCCACCCGGTCGCTGCTCCACGAGGCGCTTTAGACTTTGGCCACACCCCGACCTAGCCGTCTCAGATGCATACACATACACATACACATACACATACGTCCACACGGAATGACCCGCTCGTGGCGGGCGCCTTGCGGCTCTCTCGCGCACCTCATGGCGCGCCAATCTCGTCTGGAACCACAGGCTGCTGGCTCGAGGGCCCCCTCTCGTCCCTGCTGCGCATCAACGACATGTCAACTGCCCAGCCGGGTCGTCTTAGCTCCACGGGTAAACGCCCGTCTGGGTATTGGCCTCTCCCTGAAACGGACGAGACGCTGCATCCAGTATGGACCTGCCGCGCAGTGACCCACCGCACTCGTGGCGGCATGTCTTATGCATTGCTTTCTACACTATAGCTCCACATGGCTCAGGCGGACCCACGACGTAAATGCACAATGTCCCCTCGAGCATCAGAGGCGTCCCGCCGGGGCTCTTTGCTGCGTGAACATACACCGAGTGCCTCGATACTATCAACACCATGGCCGTCCCCAACCGAGGCCCCGAGCTGCTTGCAGTCAACATTGTCTTTGTCACGACAGCCGTGGCAGCCTGTCTGCTGAGGTGCTACGTCCGCGTGAGAATGGTCAAGGCTTTTGGCCTCGACGACTGGCTGATGGTCATCGCGACAGTGAGTGATGTGGCGAGCGCGGGTGGCGCATTCCTCTGACTTGATGTCCAGCTCTTCTTCATCGCCTACACCACTTCTTCGTGCATCGGTATCCACCACGGAACAGGACACCATCATCGTGACCTGTCCCCTGACCAGATCAAGAACGCAAAGCACGCCTGGTACTTTTGCTACCTGTTCTACTCGGTATCCATGGTCTGCTCCAAATTGTCAATTGGGTTCCTCCTATTGCGCATCAGCATTCGGAAACTCCACACGTGGTGAGTGGCCGTGGTGCTGTCGGCACAGGTATTGTGAGCTAATAATCATGACAGGATTGTCTACATGGCCATGTTGGTCTCTGTCGTTGCCGGAGGTACCTTTTTCTTTGTCTGTCTCTTCCAGTGCTACCCCGTCTCGTACATGTGGGACCGCATCTCGCAGCAGGGGAAATGCGTCGATAATACTGTCATCACCATCCTTGGCTATGTCTACAGCATCTTCAGCATCATTTCTGATTTTACGTTTGCCATTATCCCAGCCTTTATGGTCTGGCATTTGCAGTTGAAGAGGAGGACAAAGATTGCTCTGATCCCCTTGATCACAATGGGCTGCGTTGCCAGTGCTGCTGTCATTGCGCGTCTGCCCTTTGTCCACTTTTTCAACTCGCCCGACTTTCTTTGTAAGTACCTGCACTGGACGACAGCGCTGGAAACTAATGCGTCCAGGGTCCACGCTTGATATTGCCATCTGGTCCACAGTCGAACAAGGCCTTGCCATTACTGCCGGCAGTCTTGCAACACTCCGCCCCCTTTTGTTCATCGCCATGCACAAGCTCGGTCTATCTACACGCAATCCATCTGCTTATCGCCCATCAGCCTACGGCGTGTCGGCACCACTGCCAGCCAACGGCGCTGCATCAGGCATCAACTCCAAAGCCGACAAGCTGCGACCAGACCAATACAAGCTCTCGGCGACTGTCCAAACGCGCAGCTCGGAAGAAGACAACATGCACGGCGGAAAATCGGCCAACTGGTTCGGCACTGGCGCGCCGCCAAACTCGAAGAAGTCGACTCGTCTGGACAGTGCCGACAACGAAAGCGAGAGGAGTCTGAGAATCACGAGTTCGCGGGGCAGTCTTGAGGATGCTTTTCAGAGTGGCATCATGGTGTCAAAATCGTTTTACATCACGGACGAAGAAAGGGGGTCGGTTGTGTCTGCGCCGTACAGATGAGTGAGATGTAGCAACACGAGATTCAGTCTTCTAGTCGGCGGCCTATTCTGCGGCCAGAATGTCTCATTTCCGCCCAGCCGTCGACTCGGAACTGGCAGTCAGCGCAGCCCGTGCCATAGCGTCCATGCCACACCGCAGAGACCAGGGGTTTCGGCGCCGCCGTCCAACCGCCACGCGTACCATACATACTGTCGTCATACCGCTGCCACAGACAGCACCCAACGCAAGGACGTTTCAAAGCACCTGTCGGTACTGCAATTTTTGACGCAAGTGGGGGCTGTAAGATGGGATTCCCCACATTGGCATGCTGCCCTAAACAAACGGTAAGCTGCATGTCAGAATGACAGCCCCATGTGTAGCTTGCACCGGTTTCAAAGACCTTGTCGGTAACCACCATGATTACCTACGACCAACGGCCTTTTCGCACTCTATTTCAAACGCGTGAGTTCAGTTTTTGCGGCTCGTAGATACCCCATGAAGTAGCCTTGGATATATGTACAGTTTTCCATTTAGTAAGATACATAATGTAATCGAAAATTAATCAACAGGTCACGAGCAATGCACAATATGGGTTAAACAGAGCGACGACAACGACTTTGAATCCAGCATGACATGCCATGGACTCGAGTCAGCAGACGGCACAAGAGAAGATGGCGAATGGCGCTTTGCAGTACTCGGAGGCCATGAAGAAGACAAGACGTCTCGCAATGCATGGCGCAGGCTGATCCTGCTTATTCCTGGCTGCGCAGAAGTGGGGGGGGGGAGGTGAGCATCAACGTCACATGGTCCGAATGGACAAGTGCTTTTTTCTATGTCGCGCGCACGTGACATGGTTACCCGGTTGCTTCCTTCTACACCTACAGTATGCATCTAGCACTGTAGTTTATACGCCACTAGGTCTACTTGCACGCCCTATTCTTTTTCTAGAAGCCTTGGACTAGGATCGACATGTCAGCTTTTCTAAGCGAGGGTATGTGCGTCTTGTTTTTCTTCTCGACCTTCGGTTTAGGTTTGTCTAGCGCCAATCTAGCTCGGTCCGTTACTGGCATGATGCTGGGCCAGCCGGGCTCAATGGGTCATGGGGTATGGAGGGCGTCGGATGTTACTTCTTTAGGCTTGATCACCTTGTATTTGATTTTTATACCTTGTTTTTAGGATGGGGTGTTTTGCGGATCGTCAAGTCCAATGTCCATGGCTGGAATGAGTACATGGATGCATTGCCACAGAAACATCATTTCGTTTCCTTTCTTGCTTTTTGCCGAGTGACTGCGTGCATGTATCTACGTAGCATTTGTCAAGGCAGCAGCTGGTCATTTGGGTAAACCATGCTGCTTGAACCTTTGTCATGTTTTTACAAGGCAGCATGATTAGATATTGGGAGATGTTCATGCAGTTTCGTGCTATATACAGTAATTTGCCCAAGTGCCGAGTATCTACAGCGAATGTATTGATTCCACATGGCTACAAGCAGCAAGAACAGTCGTTGCAACTCGAGTCACGGATCGTGGGAGGTGCGGCACATGTCTGCTGTGTCTCATAAGGCAGAGGATTCGTGGGTGTAGGACGCGTGTTGAGGGTAGTGGCCTTTACCAGGACAGGAATGACAGCGCCAGTGCTTAGTCTGAATGGACGGTGGCCGAGGACTGATGTGTCGTTAGCGCTTACGATCTCGCTGGCAACTAGCGTTGAAACTTACCGCGCAGCAGACTTCCAATCTCGCCAGAGTGGGAAGTGATAGAGATGTATGTACTGTGGTCGTTTGTGAAGATGTCATCAAGCACAGCCTTGGAGCGGGCGTCTTGGCTGGCCTGCGGCTCAGACTTCAACGCGGTCCAATAAGGGTCTTCTTCGGCAAAGCCCTTTTCAAACTCAAATGTAGGGAAGTTCTGGTGGATATAGGTCTTGTTGTGGCGACGGTCGCAAGTGTGCGCACTGATGCCTTCACGAAGCAACTCCTTAATCACCGGGACAACCGGCTTCTTGTTGGCGAGGTTGATGCCCTCAAAAGTCAGCCTTGCAGTATCGAGGCAGCGGTACAGAGGGCTTGTGTAGAAGGTCTCGGGCAGAGTGATCCCCTCGTCTTTGATCAGATGCTTCCAAAAGGCGTTTACGACACGAGCTTGTTGCTTGCCGGCTGCAGTAAGCTTTGCATCTGCCCATGTGGCAGTAGCATTGCCGTCGAGTTCGGACCAGTAGCAGTTCCAGGCAGGAGTGCCAAAGTAAGACTCGGCCGCATTGTGGACGCCCTCGCCGTGGCGGCCCATGAAGAGAAGGCTGTAGCGCTCATTGCGCTTGCATTTCCTATTCAACATGGACATGTAGTGAGCAAGACGCTGCCACTGAGTAAGGTTCTTGCCGTGGGGGAGGGATGCATCGCTTGGATAGGCACGCTCGATCAGGCCAAAGTTGCTAGCGGTGAAGTTGAAAGCCGAGGGATCCGTAGAGTTGTCGTCCTGCTGGAGGATGCCGGTGATGACGGTGAAGTCGACGGCCTTGGCGTGCCTGTGAGCGTCGACGGCAGAGGCTGCGGCCAAGAGGCCGTACAGGAGCGACGAGGCAAGCATTCTCGGCGGTTGAGCTTGCAATGGTGATGAGACGGAACGGCCATTGTGCGGCTTCTTAAGGAGTCTATCATGTTGGATGCAATTGAGCGGCTGGCCGATGGTCGAGACGAAGACGAGTGCGGCGTGGTTGTGGTAGCCAATCAACAGGGCACGTGATTCGGGAGCTTTTTCCTGGAACGGGCTAACGTGTGAAGGAGCATTATCGACCTTCCTCTTTGTGCCACGGAGAGGACGAGACGAGACAAGATAGAAGGAGACAGGAGGAGACAGGAAGAGATGGGACGGGGCAGTGGGGCGGTGGAGATGCAGTGCTGATGCTGCTGGGGGCGAGGCGTCTGTGTGGTTGTGGTGTGGCTTGGGACGATCATGTGACTGTTGCGGCCCGCGCTCGGCGGACTCACGTGACCGCATGTAAGCGGTCACGTGAGGGTCACGTGAAATGCGACTGGTACCTGCCAAGACTCGTGGCTGCAGCTTCCCTGCCGGGGCTCCACAAAAATTGTTGCAGCTGTCGCCAGGCCGTGCAATTGACCACCACCACCACCGCCATCACTGCCAATCACCGCCATGTTCGAGAACCTCTGCGCTCTCCCCGTAGACCACGACATCTTCGTGCAGGCCGTCCATCCCAAGGAGCCGCTCGTCGCAGTAGGCCTGGCCAACGGCGATGTCCACACGTACCGCCTGCCGTCTGGCGCAAGCGACGACGACGACGACGACGATGGCGACGGCGACAACAACACGACGCTCGCCTCGGAGAATGGCTTTGGCACCATAGACCGCATCTGGCGCACGAGGCGGCACAAGGGCAGCTGCCGCACGCTTGGCTACAGCGTCGACGGCGCCTCGCTGTTCTCTGCAGGCACCGACGGCATCGTCAAGATGGCCGATGCCACGACGGGCCAGGTCGCCGCCAAGATTGCCATCCCGCTGGATCCGTATGTCCTCTGTGCCCCGGACAGGACGACGCCGGAACCGACTGCTAACACCGCACAGCTCCAACGGCGCCATCGATGCGCCGACGCTGGTCCATGCCCTCTCGCCCCAGTCGCTCATCCTCAGCACCGACTCGGGCGCGCTGCACATCTACGACATCAGAAATCTCAGGGGCGGGGGAAAAGTGTCGCTGAAGCCAGAGAACACGCACCGCCCCCACGACGACTACGTCTCGTCCCTCACCCCGCTGCCGCCGACGCAAGCGAGTACCAGTGGCTTCAGCAAGCAATGGGTCACCACCGGCGGCAGCACGCTGGCCGTCACCGACATCCGCAGGGGAGTCATGGTCCGTAGCGAGGACCAGGAGGAGGAGCTTCTCAGCTCGGCCATTGTCACGGGCCTTCCCACAAAGGGCTCCAACGTGGGCGAGAAGGTCGTCGTTGGCGCCAGCAACGGCGTGCTCACGCTCTGGGAGCGCGGCGTCTGGGACGACCAGGACGAGCGCATCATCATCGACCGCTCTAAGGGAGGCGGCGAGAGTCTCGACGCCATCACCGTCGTGCCTGATGGCCTTGGCCCCGGCGGCAAGATTGTCGCCGTGGGCATGGGCAACGGCAACATTCGCTTCGCCAAGATCGGACCCAACAAGATTGTTGCTGAGCTCAAGCACGACGAGCTATCCCACGAGAGCGTCATCGGCCTTGATTTCGACGTCACTGGCCGGATGATCAGCAGTGGCGGCAAGACGGTCAAGGTATGGGGCGAGCAGACTTGGCAAGATGTCGATGAAGACGATGACGATGGCGATGACGATGATGAAGAAGACGAAACTCCTGGCGGAAAGCGCCAGCACGACAGCGACGGTGCCGATGATAGTGACGAAGACATGGACGACAGCAGCGACGATGAACCCAAGCAAAAGCGAAAGAGGAGAAAGAGGAACAAGGGCCAGCAAGCAAAGGGCCATGGCATCATGCACTTTTCGGGACTTGACTAAGGCAGACTGACGCTACCGCTACCATGTCTCGTGCTGCATGTTCGTCAGCCCCATCCCTTGTGATTGGTGCCCTAAGAAAAAGTTGGATAGAGGGTCTTGGATCAAAGTTTATTAGTAGTGCTGCGCAGGTAAGCAAACCCCAAATTATCGAGCTGTTTCAGCATTGATAGGAACAACAGAATAATATCCAAATCAAACACCCTACTATCCATTCTTCAAACGTGCCGATACTTTCCCAGCCTGACATCAGCCACCATTCCCTTTGCGGCTTAGTATCTTCTGTCGTCCAGGCTGAAACATGGCAACATCAATCTCTGCCCGCCTTTACACACCACCTACTCAGATGGCTAGCTTACGAAAATCCTATCAGCATATTGAGCATGCGTCGACATGTCCATGCGTAATCGATGCCCAAGGTGTGGCGTCATCATCATCATCAAGCTTCACCCGACCGGTCACTAATTTGCCTCCCTAGAGGACTGCAACTGCTTCTACTCTGCGCTGTCCAAGACAGATGTCTTCGAAGCCGCTACGCTGGAAGGACCCAGCCATGACAAAGGCCATATGGATGACGTCGCCCTTGGCCACATCCGCGAATTTGTAGCTCATAAACAATCTCAGAGTCGTCAACGAACGGCACCCCACTCGTCCTCACAGCTCTACAGACCGCTCGGACAAGGCGAGATACGTGTACTGGAACTGTGTGCTGGCGAATTTGAAGCGCCGCTCCATGCCAATCTGCATGCAGTCAGCATCGACTTTTCACATCCGCCAAGAGAACAGCAGCTTACTTATCATTTGGACGACCCAGCAAATACAAGCAGGAGAACCTTTACATGGACAAGGCATACTAACCACGCTGTGTCCCTTGCTACAGGGAATCCTGTCTGGTACACGGCGCTCAGCTATTGCTGGGGCGCACCCGTGTTCGACCAGGCTATCAGGATCGACAATGACTCCCTGCAAATCTCGCAAAGCTTGGCAGGCGCTCTGCGCCACCTGCGCTTAGCAGAGAAAAGTGTATTCGTGTGGACTGACCAGATTTGTATCAATCAGCAAGATCTGGCGGAGAAAGGACAGCAAATCCCGCTCATGGGCATGATCTACACGCATGCTACCAACACGCTTATATGGCTTGGCGACGTTGATGGGGATGATCCAGCACGTGCATTCGATTTAATGGAGACTGTATATACCCGCTTGCAAGGAATTGATGCACAAGTCACAGCGGCCGACTTTGGCAGACTAGACTTCCCTCCTGCCCTAGACCAAGCGTGGTGGGCTGTCCGCCAACTACTGCGAAGACCATGGTTTAGTAGACTGTGGACGATACAGGAAGCAGTACTGTCGAGGAATCTGTTCCTCAAGTGTGGTCCCGCCTCGGCTTGCTGGGACGACTTTGCAGCATGGTGTGCCTGCTTGGAACAGACGGGCATACTCGGCTGGCTTACCGGCAATATTGATCTAGACCGCGAACTCCATGATGGACGACAGTCGACGCTTTTGCCACCCCAAGGAGCTTCGATTGTCAATTCGATCCAGGCAGACCGTCTTCAGGGCCTGGCTCTCACCCAGAAAGAATACCTCTTGAACATCTTAGTGTCCACGCGGTATGCGCAGGCAACAGAAGCCAAAGACAAAGTATACGGTGTTCTGGGGATAGCGGAGTCCACTATCGTACCTGATTATTCCCCTTCGCTCTCAGCAAGAGACGTCTACCATGAGGCGTGCCTAACGCAGATACCCACATTCCAGTACGAGCTTCTGAGTTGTGTTGACCACGATCAACCACTACAGCCATCATGGGTTCCGGACTGGAGCCAGGCACGTATGACCAACGCCCTGGGCTACTCAACAAAAGCTTGGGCCCTTTATTGCGCTGGTGGCAGACCTGTCACCGGGAAAGAGCCGCCTAGGATGACGCTGAGTTCGGACAAGAAGGCAATCACCTTTACCGGCAAGGTTTTCGACTCGATTGCTAGCTTGGGCGGCGTCTGCGAGAATCCCGCGCTTGATATCGACGATCCCAAGAGTGCCAACATCGACCTGGCCTCGTACGTCGCCCTGGCCATAAAATCGAGGCAATGGCAAAGATATCTTATTGAGGGAACGTCAGTGTATGAAGCCTTTTTCTGGACCCTGCTGGCTGGTCGAGACGGATCCAGCATTTCGGCACCTACGCAGGAGCACAGCGAAGCTTTCGGCTTGATCTTGGACTCGACCACGGGCCAAACTCCTTCGCTGCCTGGCCAGGCTATGAGCGCGCGGCGGCAGAAGGGCCACTTTACACTTGACAATCTCAAGACTCGGAAGCCAGCCAAGACCCTAGAAGACCTGCAAACGGCGCTCCGGGCCGCACTCAAGATGCGTCGTTTCGCTGTGACCAAACAGGGTTATTTCGCATTAGTTCCAAGGGGTGCGCGAATCGGCGATGAGATTGCAGTCTTTGATAGAGCATGTGTGCCTTTTGTAATACGCCGGACGAACCATGATTCAGTGCAGCGTGCATTTGAGCTGCTAGGTGAGGCGTACGTCCACGGTGTGATGAAGGGAGAAGTCATAGACATGGCCAATGTTGAGTTTGAAGACATTACGCTGATTTGATGGGGTATTGATCCAGCAAGGCATGCAAGGTACTGCGTCTTGTGGGATTGCGCAAGGTACCACATGGGCGTGACAGGATTGTCGTGGCAATCATGTCCGCACGCAAAGTCAAACTCTCGGAACATTCACATTAGCAACAAGACATTACCAGGTCACAAGCAAGCCTTTTCATATAAAACGGCGCCCAGTCCCCAGCGCCTCGGCATTTCCATGATGCGCAATCTACATGCGACTAAGCTATTGGCTGAAACTAAGCTCGCCTAAGCTTCCGAAGACTACTAGACGCGCCGTTGATATTGCTTAATATAATGGCATTGCCACAGGACTACGCCGGCGGCACGCGTTCCGGCTCTTCTATAGCAAAAGGGGGCTGGCTGGTCTTGGAGAAGCAATGGTTGGCATGTTGCACAGCATTCGGTTGGTGGATACAAGGGTAATGATCCACCTGTCTGGGTTGAAGAGATGGCAAGGTTCAACGTGAAATAATGCAAGCGCAGCATCATTAGTCGTGGATCAGCATTTGCAACCCCGGGCTTGGGCTTGCAGCATAGAGGGGGAGGGTTCAAGGACGTCATTTATAAGGCACTGCTGTCGACGTCGAATTGGTGCTTGGCCACAGTTCCAACCCAACTACTCACCACACTCCAAGATGAAGATTTCAACTTCTCTCGCGCTTGCGGCGGCAGCCTCGTCCGTCTCTGCCCACACCATCTTCCTCAGTGTCAACGGCGGCAAAGTAGGAGACGGAGTCCGCGTCCCCACCTACGACGGCGTGAGTGCCTTTTGCATTCCAGCTCCTCAATGTTAGCGTCTTCTAACCTGCAATGCAAAAATAAAGCCCGTCTACGACGTAACCACAAACTCGATAGCCTGCAATGGCCCACCCAACGACACCCCGGCCAAAACCGACACGGTCATCACCCTGCAAGCCGGATCCAAAGCAACCCTCACGTGGCGCCACACACTGACGTCTGGCCCCAACGACGTGATTGATGCCTCGCACAAGGGCCCGGTCATGGCCTACATGAAGAAAGTCAGCGACGCCAAGACGGACACGGGCATCGGCGGTGGCTGGTTCAAAATCTCCCAAGACGCATTCGACGGCACAAAATGGGGTGTCGATCGCTTGATTGCCAACCACGGCAATCAAACCGTCACCATCCCTGCTTGTATTGCGCCCGGCCAGTATCTTCTGAGGGCCGAGCTGATTGCGCTGCACGCTGCCAGCCAGTCGTTGGGCGCGCAGTTCTACATGGTGAGTTTCTATGTCTTCTTCTGCCCCCACATTGTTGCCTGGGCTTTTGTCTGCATGCGTTGGAGGGACAGCGCTAATACACAGTGTGATAGGAATGTGCGCAAATCAACGTTGTAGGTGCCTCGGCAGACAAGACACCATCAACCGTCTCGTTCCCAGGCGCGTACAAGCAGAATGATGCGGGTATCCTGTACAACCTGTATGCGGGCAGCAAGACATACACGGCGCCTGGGCCGGCGGTATTTACGTGCTAGCGTGTTGGCGAGAAAGTGTAGATGGTGCTTGGAGAGATTTGGGCATTTTTGTATATACTGATTGTATTCTTCAACCTGGAATTGACATGTATGGTGAATAGCTTTGGCGTGCTTGTCGGGATAAAGAGAATGATGTATCCATCTCTTCGGCTAGATTGAAGCGGGGTCAGCGTCCTATGTTGCCTTTGGAGCTATTGTGAGTCACTATTGCTGGTGCTGCGTCGCTGTAATCAACTGCTGTTGCATCTCTTGAGTCTGGCAGACCTCCTTACCGCATGCCCAGTACACCTCCTTTTCCTCTTGCCCTCCTCTGCATGCCCTGTACCCAGCGATCCTCCATGTCCGCTCCCCTGCATCCCACGAGAGCCCAACGCCTTGACGCCCACTCGCGCCATCCTCCTTCTCATCCTTCTCGCCAGGTGGTCAAGAGACCCAAGAGCATTCCGGCTTCTTTGCATTCTTTCCGGCGTCAACATGTGAGCAGAGTTGCTTGATTGAGAGACTGAGGTGATATAGTGTGAAGCCATATGCAGCGTTTGCTCCATGTACAATTGTCAGCTTTGTTTTTCACACATTTGTAAAAGAGAGCAGTTTAGTACACGCACATGACATGTCATCGTGTGCCACGGGAGACAACAAAAAGGACATTCGTCGGCTGTCTCTGAGCTTGGTGGAATTGGAACTGTTTCTTGCCAGAATCGCCGTGTGTCTTCTTCATCTGAAACGGTGTGGTGAGGAGGTGGGAGTCCGAAGCTGGGGCTGATTTGATCCAACCAGTCCAGGATGCGCTGGTCGGGATTCTGTTCTTGGTCGGGCATGGATGTAGCGCTGGCCCGGCGATACAACGCCCCTGCACGGGTACCAGCCCTCCTTACATGCAGGCTTTCATCTGGTTCCTCGTCTGCGCAAGACTCGCTGATGCAGGCTTGATGTGTTCTCGAGTCTTTGATCGTCTTGCGAGGATATTTGCCTGCAGCCCCCTGATACCTTGTTTCTTCCCTCACCACACCTTCAACACATACTCCCGTCTCATCTCGTTTCACGCCCAGCGTCTCGCCCTTCTCATCATGCCTATTAGTCTCTGCATCTCTGACCCAAAAATAATAATGCGGAACGTCACACCCAGGAAACCTGACGTATCTCAGATTGTCCAGCGTCTTCGGTCCCTCTTCCCTCTGGGTGCACACAGCCCCAAAGTCTAGAAAAGCAGGAACATATCCCACCGCTGCCGGCCTCCACTTGCACGCCTCATATACCTCGGCCACCAATCCCGTCTTGATCCTCTTTCTCTGCCCAACTCTGACATCCCTGTCATTGGCGCATGCCTCAGAACGACCCCTCACACGTCTCGCTTTGCTGCTTTCCACTTCCCACTTTTGATACACGTCTGCAAGACTCTTTGTGCTATTGGCTGCGCAGGGGAGGAAGTACATGTGAGCCGTTGAGGGTTGGATTAGCGTTCTCAAAGCCCACTGCACGCCTGTCTCTATAGTGGCTTTGCGCAGGAGACCGGATAATTGGCCTCTGTGGGCTGCGGCGCGGACGGGTTGCGAGAGCATGGGGACATAATCTGGGGGGATGGCAGGCGGGTACTTGTGTCCAGGGAGGAACAGCTTTTGCTTGGTTAATGTGGTGACGAGTCTGAGTGGGACGTAGGGAAGGGTTCTGGGTTGAAAGTGGAAAGGAGACGATGAGGGAATGGTGCATGGTAATGTTTCGTAGGGCCATTCCAAGAGACGCAGTGTGCATAGAGGGGCGAGATGGTCTATTGAGTTTGGTAGAGATTCGGTCGAGGTGCTGTCCCAGGAGGAGTCACTGAGGGCTTGTCCTATGGCTTCGCGCTTGTATTCGTCTCTGGTTTCACGCTCAGCCTCGATTTCAGTATCGCTCAGTGTGTCGTCGCTGACGCTTTCGTCTCGCTCTCTCTTTCTCTTCTTCTCCAGTTTTTTCCTCTGCCTTGCGTTGATCAATTCTTGCTTCTCGGCAGCGATGCGTTCCTCTTCTTTCCTCGCCTCTTCTTGCTTGCGGCGAAGTGCATTTAGATTATCACGTTCAGTGCGCCTCTTTGCCTCGTCGTTCCGCTTCAGTGCCCATGCCATCTCCACCTTTTTCATGTCCTTGCGATATAAACGTCGTTCCTTGGTGGCATCAAGAAGCTCTTTGTAGTTGTATGTGTCGTAGACAGAATCCGTTCTATCCTCATCGCGCACTTTGTGTGTCCCGCCTCGGCGGTGTGCAGTAGCTTGCCGAGCCATGTCACGTCCGGAAGGCGCTTGCGAACTATGATGATTGGTAGCATTTTTCTTTCCCCTTCTTCTAGCCATTGTGTCAGTACTTTAAGTTTTGGGCCTGCGAAACCGAATCGAGGCAAACCGTCTGCTGGATGCATTGTAGGAGCGACACGGAGTGATTCAAATATCCACTGCGAAGCCGCATGTGTGATGAAGCATGAATGAAAGACTTGACTTTGAGCTGCTTTGTTGCCACGACAGCCTTTGTCTCATTAGTAGTATGCAGAGCTCGCCAACACCCCCAGACACATGACAATGTGATTTCACTTTGATTCAAAAACAGTTCATTTGCAAGATTCTAGGGTATCTCACTAGGACAGGTTAACTGACGCGAGTCTGGATTCGAGAGATCTGCTTACAGTTCCGACTTTTCTCCATCCGCCTTCCGCTTCTCCGCCTTGAAGTCAAAGAAGCCTTCGAGCTCCATGTATTCGGCGGTGAAAGCTAGGACGAGTTTTGTCCAGTCCTCAACGGTATCCAGGTCGAGATGCTCTCCATCATCTTCCATTGTGTGCCATACCCTTGGAAAGGGCGTGGGAATCATGTGCAGGATCTCAACGCCGCGAGCCATGAAGGGAACATGGTCGTCCTGGACGAAGCCACCCATGAAGGCACTGCTGGCTTTGTCCGCCTCGGGCAGAAAAGGCTGCTCGGCGCGAGGCTTCCTGTCCTCGCGCGTAGCCATCTTGGACTGGTGGTTAGGAGACGACTTCATCAGGCCGAGCTTTCGCAAGCGCTCCTCGGCCTTTGCCATGTGCTGGTATGCCCAGTGCGTCGTCATAAAGTAGGAGGGGATGCTGGGGTTCTTGGCGCCCAGTAGATCAAGCAAGACGAACAGCTCGATCGAATCGAGAGGCGTGCGATAAATGGATTGAGCGGCATGGAAGGTCCCCTCCCAGTCCTCGGCCAGAGCCCTGCAGGCCGTCGGTTAGTCAGTTGCCATGGCCACGTGTTGGGAATCTGTCGCACCTTGCGCCATAGAGACTGTCGGTGTCGGTCCAGCTCTTGAAGGCCTCTTCGCCGTCGAGCAGCAGCACCTGGACGCCCCTGTGCTCCACTTCGAAGTCGTCCTTTTTCGCCGCGGCCCATTTTTTGGTGAGGGCAGCGTCGATGCTGCGCACCACGTGCATGATCATTGCGCACGGCGCGGCGCTGTCCGTGGCGCCGATGAAGCCGGCGGGCGTGTACTTGCTGTCGTAGTGGGCGACCAGCGCCAGTCTGGACACGTCGCCCTCCATGCTGCCGGGGGGGTCGCGCGTGGCAATGATGTTGACAAACGGCACCTCCTTGCCCTTGCTGACGGGCGTCGTCGACGTCGAGTTGTGCATCGTTAGCTTCCACTCGGGCAGGTGCGACTTGAAGAAGTCGAGAAAGTGCTGGCGCACGGCAGCATTGCCCTCGGTGCCGGATACCCTGGGCACCAGGATGGGCGCCAGCAGGGCGCCCTTTTTGATGTCGAAGTCATTGCCGGGGCCGGGCAGGTGCTTCAGCGTGTCGTCGCTGAGGCCGTGGTAAGCAGCGCCGAGGGAAAGAAAGGAAAGGAGCGTCAGGAACGCGGGGGGTATCAGCATCATCGCGACCTATCACATGGGACATGCACTGGGGAGTGGTGAATGGGAATGGGAATGGGGATGGGGAGTGGGAATGCGAGTGGGAATGGGAATGGGAGTGGGAATGGAGGGGAGGGAGGGGTGGAGGAGGAATGTTCAGATGCGATGTACGAGTGGGAGCATGCTGACGGACGGCGGCGGGCGCATCAAGTGGAGCTTGCGGAGGTGAAAGCAGAAGCAGAAGCGTGGCTTCTCCCGCCGCCCTGGGCGCTTTTCGGAGCCTCGTTGATCCGCCCCCGCCCTGGCGCTTGTCTGCTTTGGGCTAGTCTGCCGCCGCCTCGCACGTGACCACGCGACGCTGCAAAACTCAAATCTCCCCTCTTGTGCCTGTCAATGACTGGCCAATTGGGCACTTGGCCCTCGACGACAGATGGACCTGCTCCATACCAGCCCGCCTGCTAATACTCACCACGCCCGATAGGCCTCTTCTCCAAGTGTCCTGCCCAGCTGCCACTCCATCACCAGCCCAAGACATCCCCGGCCAGCATGCAGCCGCGAGTCTTCGCTTTCGCAGCAGCCTGCAGAAGCGTGGCGCCAGCAGCAGGACGAGGGACTCCCGTCAACCGCATACGCACTGCCGGTTTTGTGTGTCGAAGCTGTCAAAGGAATTTCTCCACGTCGCCCGCCCTGCGCTGGTTTGGCAAGGCTGCCAAGGAGACTGCCAAAGCGGCCGAAAAAGAGCGGAGTGCGTACTGGCCAGCACAATCTTACACCAAGAGCCCCTCGTACTGATAGCGGCTCAGAATACAAGTCGAGACTCCTCATCTACGACGCCGGTGATGCGCGAACTACGTGGATCTCCTTCTGGAAAGCAATGGCCCTGCTGCAGTTTGGCACCACCTTGGTCTTTGGTGTGCCGCCCCTATGGAACAATGAAAACCAGCCAGACCCGCGACTGAGAAAGGCGCAGGCGATGTTGGGTGAGTACTAAGATTTTTGCTGCCATCTCTACTCTCCGTTTTTCACTTCTTCCGTCTACCAGCGTAGTGAGCTTTGGGAAACTTTTTTTTTCCTTTTCTTTTATACTGCCTGGCCACTTTGCCTGGTATATTTTATCATTCTTGGCAACCATGCCATTGTATTTCAAGACCATTGTCTGTTTTTCTTCATATGCAGCAAAAAAAAGAAAATCAAGCATACACGGCCTCCACAGTAGCCAAAACACCAAGAAGAGCCCGAACCCACATCTAACACCCCAAAGTCGGCATCCTCGGCACCATCCCCACCCTCACCCTCGCCTACCTCACCGCTCCCTTTGTCCACCAAGTCTTTCTCCAGATTCCCGAATCCGCCCGCCGTTCCCGCCATGATCTCCTGCGCTTCGCCTCCACCCTGCGCAAGCAACCCCACGCAACCGCAAACACCAAACTCGAGTTTGTCACTCTCCGCATCTTCCCCTTCCGCAAGCATACGACTGCCTTCCTGCACGAGCTGCGTGCCTTGCCTCAGCGTCGCTTCCGCCTCGCCAATATCGAGCTACCCAAGACGGAAGCGTGGGCCCAGCGACAGAGGGAAAAGGGCATTCTCAGACGCATGATTGATGTGATTAACGAGCCTAGGTTCAAGTTTTATGTCAAAGAGGGAAGGCTGTATACGATGAAGACGGGCGTGCCTGGCGTGTGGGAGGAGGTTGCGGCGAGGATCCGCGATCAGACGGTGGCCGAGACAGACGAGGCCGAGAGGAAAAATTACGTGGGTGGGAATGCTGGTGTGGCGAAGAAGCCGGTTGTTGTTGCGAAGAGGGTGGTGAAGCCTGTGGGCAAGGTTGACGACAGCATCAAGAGGCAGACGACGAGGCTAGCTAGGAAGTGACATGTTGTGTGGGCAAGTCTGGCATGAACATATTGGTCGATTCACCCAGCGGCCTTGAAGAGCTGTTCAGACAGACGAAGCTCAAGCTTGGGTTGATGCGACCACGCATGCGGATTGTACTAAAACACCAATCACGGTGCTCTGTGTAAATGAAACATATACATCCATGTACCGTCTTATATGCATCATCACTGCATGTGCATCACACAAATCATACCACGTCAATCGCCACACCATACCAACACAGTAGTATTGCAACCCTATGCCTGCTCCACAGATGTTGCCCTTTCCTTCTCAAGCGTGTCCTCGTAACTCAGAGACCCCTTCTCCATCGACAGGCCTGCAACTGTCTCATTGACGAGACCAGACCGCCCCACGAGCTCAGCAAGCCCAACCTCGAGATAAAATGCCTGAGAATGATCGAACATGCTGGGCATGCGACAAGGTTGTTCAATCCATGTGGATACCCCCGAGTCTTGCTGTGTTCCTGCTTGAAAGTTTTTCTGTTTTCCTCTCCCAGTTTGGTTGGCTTCGCTGATAGAGATGGATATTGATTTTTATTGTGTCCATCACATCGCAATGAGCGCGCCAATTTCCTCGGGATTCAGTCAGTTCACCCCCAGGCATACGGACAACTTGCATCAGTCACCTCTTCCGACCAACTCAACACACTAATGCAAGGCACGCAAGCTGCCAAGATACTCCAACAAGTAAAGCGTCGAAATAGTGGGGTATCATTTGAATCATAAACTATTCTTTGGTCGCAATCATGTTTTCCGTTGACGATTCTTCGCTTTAGATAGCGCCTGTGATATTGCAGCGAGATCTTCCTCGACGGCCTCATCATCTTCACTTTCTTCGTCCTCGGCACCCTCAACAGCACTGTCATCCGAGTCATCATCGTCTTCTTCAGCATCATCGTCCTCGCTGAAGCCGCCAAACTCGTCGTCGTCATCGTCGTCATCGTCGTCTATCTGGTCTTGAGCTGCGCCACTTGCGTCTGTAGTGGCCGCCACACTTGCCGTAGCCTGGCTCTCACCATCGCGCTTCCGCTTCTTGCTCATCTCACCAAGTTTGCCGTCTCTCTTCTCATTGACAGGACCGGTCTCTTCGCTTTCCGTGAACGGCGGTGGAGTGAACCAGGGGAGTTTTCCTCTTATCCAGTCGTTGAGAACCATCTTGGCAGCGCCGTCAATGTCGGCTTCACCTCCCTTGAGGAGACGGCCACTCTTTCGGCACAGTATTTCCAAAAACCGCACAGCATCATTCTCGTAATCCTTTTCTTTAATATCGTAAGTCCTTTGGAGATGCTTCGGTTGTACCTTCCTCAGGACTGCTTCAATGTACTGTGCAGGGTATTCGACGTTCTCCACACGCACACTACCACGCAACAAAAGATCTTCATCCGTGTCGTTTTGGTTCGGCGGAACGATACCCGGACAGTCGATCATGTAGATGCGCTTCATTAGGGTAATGTATTGCCAGACCTTTGTCTCACCGGCGATGGGCGCGACAACACAGACCTTCTTCTTGCGGAGGGTGTTGATGATGGATGACTTGCCAGTGTTTGGATAGCCAACCATACCGACCGAAATTTGCTTGCGATCGCTGTGGAGCGAGCTGAATTGCCGGAGGAGGGCAATGAGGGAGCCCTTGCCAAAGCTGTTGTTGATAGAGGCATGGAAAGCTGCGTCAATGGTTAGTCGATGATCAGAAGTGGAAAGCGATCAACCGTACCCAGCGTTGGAAATTCGCGACTTAAATGCCGTACCCATGCGGCCTAAGCAACGTTAGCTTTGTCCATCGGGCAAACATATTGAACGTGTTGGCCATGGAATGTGTGAAATATTACTAAGAGTACCGCCATGAAGCTGCGAGTGCAGAGACGGTCCTCAACTCAAACAAATCACGCGTGACTCTATTGACCGACAACCAAGACGGTTGCCAATCGACCCGCAATCAAGACGATTGCTGGCCAGCGAGCCACTTTTACTCTTCCCAACTTGTAACAGAACCGTATTCATTGCAAAAGAAAAGGTCCTTGACTTAAGGAGGGTGATGGCGAGGGAAATTACGGGGGAGGAAACATACCGCTACTTTTGAGGGCACGAGGTCAACCTTGTTGATGACAAAGACAAGGTGCTTATGTGGAGCCTCTGTGCGAATGTACTTTTCGACTGAGCGACATCGTGTGCCTTCGGGGTCACGGGCGTCTAGGACGTGCAAGATGACATCGGAGGAATCGATGACCTAGCAGGGTCAGTGAGCAGTCCAAGTGGGACTGAGGGAAAAGAGCTACCTTGTAAAGTTCGTTCCAGATGCGCTTGGACGTGCCCTTCATGAAGATGAATTCTCGCGCCGACGCGAGCTCGCCGTTGGCGTTGGCGTTGTCGTTGAAGCTTTCCTTCTCCTCGCCCGACGTGCCCGACAGTAGCTTGGCTTGCTCGAGGCGCTCGAGATAGGATTCGTGCATGGTGCCGGTGCGGCCCGCCAGATCCTCAATCGAGCTAAAGTCGAGCTTGGGTCGCTTCCGCTGGGCCTTGGGGCCAAACGTCTCGGAGAAGGGCTGGCTGTCGACGGCGATCTTGGCAGCGTGCTGCTTGAGGCCGGGGATCTGGCCAGGCGTCTCAATCAGGCTCATGGGCAGCTTGTTGCGCTTCATCAGATATGTGCTGGGGTCCGAGGCCTGGGCCTCGACGGCCGAGCGGAAGCTGTCGAGGGCCTCTTGCGATATCACGCGCGTATTGTTGAACCACTTGCGGTTGGGCTCGACGCGGGCGACAGGCGCCTCGCGGCTCTGATACGAGGCCGCCTTGGTGATGTCTCCCCGGGCATTGCGCTCGGCCTTGCCGTCGGTGAGGCGCTTGAGCACCTTTACCTTTTTCGCATCGCTGCACAAGCTATTGTCAGTATGGAGCTCACGGCAAGCAGCAGCAGCAGCAGCAGCAGATGCATGCATACCGGTAGAAGTTTGTGCCCTTGACCTTGACATTGCCCATGCCGTCGTGGGTCTTGCCCTCGCGCTCGCGGCGGCTCTTCTCTTTCTTGTGGACGCCCATGGTCTGGCGGTGGCGGGCGCAGCGATTGTCGAGCGGAGGAAGAGCAAAGAGATGCGGTCGCGACCATGGGCAACTTTTTTTTGGAAAGGCGGGCGCTAGTCCGGATGCGGCCTGGCGCCTTGGCATCGACAATTTCGAAGCGGGCGCAACGACACCACGACATCACGTCCGCATTGCCCTGCGAGCCTCAACACCATCGCAATGCCCCCGCGGATACCTGCCCGCCTTTGCTGGGCCTCGTCTCCGCCGGCGCCCGCGGCCATTGGGCCCGCCGGCAGCCGGAGTGTGCGCGCGTTCTCGTCGACGCCCGCCGCGCTGGCCCTGGGGCCGCAGTCACCAAACTATATCGAGGTCCCCAGGCCGCTGCAGCCCACGTACCCAGCCAAGCCGACGGTCAAGGGACACCTGCCAGTCCCACGTGACATCTTCAGGACGAGGAACAAGCACCCCAAGGAGTCGGACGTCTTCATCGCCAGGGCCGCCCGGGAGCCCAAGCAGGTCAAAGTGCCGGGCCCCTACAGCAGAGATGCCGACTACCGGCTGTACAAGCAGAGGCTGGCGGAGAAGCGGAGAGAGGCCCTGAAGGAGGGCGTCAAGCAGCTGCACGAGCGCAAGGTCACGTCCGAGGCGCAGTACATGGCCAGGATCCAGGCCAGTGGCGCGCACCGGCGGGCATTGGCCATGGCGCCTCGCCGCGATGTCGATATCCTGACCGAGACGTCGGTTGCCGAGGGCATCCGCGACTTTCTCGCAGACAGCCTGCCCCCGCGGCCAGACATGTCCAAGGCCCGCAGCAAGGCATACCAGCGCCGCATGGCCAAAGTGCAGGAAACGCGCGCATCCCGCCTGCACGACCTGTATACCAACGCACGAGAGTTCATTGTGGACGAGAAGCAGCTGGAAGAAGCCATTGACAAGGCATTCGGCACCGACGAGTCGCCCGTGGGCTGGGACCCCAAGGGCAAAATGGGCCCGAGACACGAGGGCAACGAGGGCCTCAGCCCATGGCACGGCCCCCTGCCCGAAGGTGTGGGCGACATGCTTCAAAAGCTCAAGGGCGGCGAGGGTGTTGGTCTCGCCAAGGAGCGCGTCAAGAAGCTTGCCGAGGAGCTCACCGGGGGCAAGATGTAAGAAGTGTGAAGAGTTATGTATTCTACGGTCAATGTATACCATGGCAGCAACGAGTCCAGCTGTCTTTCCATCCAACCATGGCATCAGCAAGTTCGATACTTTGAAACCAACTGACCACGCCACCAAGGCCGGACGCAGCTACTCAGGCATCTCCTATCTACAGCCACGGGCCATGTTTGTTATCTCGCGACTGGAGTGAGGCCAGCGGTGTGAACGTCCAGTGCACGTGGAGTAGCTTTCACCTCCATCTCACCGATTCGGACTAGTCCTACTCCATGGTCCACGTTGTAGCGCCCTCCCTGGTACTTTATTCTCCCTCACTTTCCTCAGTAGCAAAGTCTTCTTTCGCCCGTCAACTCAACCCAACTCCATTATTCACAACTATTCCCTACACAACAGCTACCACCAATACCTCTAAATGTTCACCTTCAACTTCTCACTCCCTCTTCTTCTCCTTCTTCTTCCCCTCTTCCTTGCCATCCATGCGGCCGCCCTGCCGCCCCCTCAAATTCCCACCCCCCAGCGCCGCGGGATCCCCTACAACGACGTCTCTTTGGTTTCCCTCTTCAACAAACCCGGCTCGCACGCTACGTGGCGCTACAACTGGGACTCTTCATCGCCGCCATCGACTGCCTGGTTCGACTTTGTACCCATGCTGCACTCGCTCCGAGACGACCATACCGGGCACTGGAAAGCGAATGCAGAGGCGGTAGCCCGTGGCAATTACGAGGGAATGAACGGACGAGCGACATGGGTGTTGGGATTCAACGAGCCTGACAATTGCCTGTAAGTCTCTCGCCCGTTTTGCAAACAAGATACATGTGTACGTGTGGATGCAGGAAGGCAAGGAGACTGATGCTACTGTACAGGCCTGGGGCAGGAGGTTCCTGCATCGATGTCGCTACTGCAGTGGCTGGATGGAAGAAACACATGCAGCCGCTTGCCTCGTTGAACAAAAACATGTATCTTGGGTCTCCGGCGGTTACCAATGCTGCTGCGTCGGATACGTCGGGGCTGGGGTGGCTGGCCAAGTTTATGGAGAAATGTGATGGGTGTAATATCGACTTTGTCAATATCCACTGGTAAGCTCCCGTCCCTTGAACCCACACGCCATTTCAGCAGGCGTGGGTGATGGCTTCACACACTACCTTGGAAGCACGCATGAAAAGGTTCTCATCACCTCATAGGTATGGGTACGCCAACGCCCAGGCATTCAAGTCGCACATCGAGGCCACCCGCAAAGTCGCGGGCGGCCGCCCCATCTGGGTCACCGAGTTCCAGCCCTCAGGCACGACAGACGAGGTCAAGCGATTTCTCGAGGACGTGATGCCTTGGATGGACGCAAGCACGGATATCCATCGGTATGCGTACTTCATGGCCGCACAGGGTGAGGGTATGCTTGTGGATAGTAATGGCGGACTTGGTGAGATTGGCAAGACGTATGCGTTCTTTCACTAGAAAAAAAAAGGTGCAGATGACCACGAAATGTGTTCCGGGGAATTTAGGCGCGCTCCCAGGATAGAAGTAAGTTCAAGATACATGTCAGTACTAGAGATTAGTGTAGAATTACCACACTAGCTACACGGCCGGCATCCACGTCTGCCCAATGGCCTTTCTGAAGCCGCGCTCAAACACGCCAATCGTCTCGTTCATGCCCATGCCACTTGCAATGGCCAGCTGCAGCATGATCCTCGCTTGAATGGGGTGCACAAATCCTGCCGTCGCATATTATTATTATTATTATTCTAGTTTAACGTCCTTTTTCAGCCCGAAGGGCTATATAAGACGTGTAGGGTTCTTAGGCCTACAAGTATCTAAGTAGGTTGTTTCTAGCTACAATATTTAGGAGGGGTTTTAACTAGATGAAGGTGAGGCTCGTAGCCTATTGGTT